TAAAATGAGTTTCGTATCTATATCTACACACACACACACACACACACACACGCCCATATATGCACTCTGTTGTAAACAAAAGCTCCAAGAGATAAACCCTTTTGTCCCTTAACTTTGTTCTCCTCCCATACACACACACACACACACACACACACACACACACACGCACACACCAATCAAATTATTCAGTGTTGTTATAACTTTTCTGAACTCAAAATCTATTTTAGTCTTACTAGACATTTGCCAATTCGCTTCACTATCTTCAACCTTAGCTTTCTTCTCTGTAAAATGAAGAGTTTGGCCTAACTGGGTTCCAAGTCTCTCAAGCTCTTAAAGTTTCTATGCTGTGATTGAAAAGTGCTTCTAATATATCCATCCTCTCCTTGGAAAGTAAGGTTATTTAAAATTATATGGTGCTTACATTATTCAAAAGAAGTAATGTACTGCTGAAGGTATTTAATTATTCCCAGTGATAAATTAACACAGGAAAATTTAAATAGTCATGTCAGAATTTGAATATAACTTGACCTGAGATGCAGGGTAACTTAGATATTTATATCTAAGAGCCATGATTTGGGGGGCATGATTTATGGTGGAGTGGGCATCCGTGCTTAGACCACATGATCTTCCCTCCTCTTCTTTTGTAGTTCATTGAACCAGTAATGGGGACACCTAACCCTAGAGTGGCCCATTCAAAGGATGGTTCGTGTCTGCTTCAAAATGTTGAGCTTACCATCAGATGATCTTGGCATTCTGAGCTCAGAAATACTAAGAGAGGGAGTTAGCAACAGGTTCAGAACCTTAAAGAATGTACTGAGATATCATGAAAGGAGAGTTCAGACTATAGTCATGAAGGGACAAATGCCAGAGAGACAGAGGTACCAGCAGAGGGACAAGAGAGGCTGGCCCATGAGAGACAAGGAGTGGCCTTAGTCCTGGGTGTTCTCTGGGCTCAAAACCTAAATTACAGAAATCATGAAAAGTCTCCTTTTACTTGAGAGACTTACTATGAAAACCACCACACTAAAGTGATCAGTGTGCAAAAATCCCACAGAGAATCTCTAAGCTTCATGAGGTCATCTAAGTTATTTACCATCCCATCCCTAGCACCCCCTGGAGTGACAAGCATGAAGTAGATGAGTAAATATTTCTTGAATTAATAAATGTACTCTTTGATCAATCAATTAACACTGTATAATTTTTAGAAATTTAATTTTGTCTTTTACATTTAGCATAAATATATCTAAAACCACATTGTATGTAACTAAGAAGACTATTCTTAAAGATTGCAAAAAATAAAATTTACTATCAATATTGATAAAATTAACTACTTTCTTAGACTGGCTTTTAACTTTAAACTCTTGCTTACCTAGATGAAAACGTTATGAAAATAGGGCTTTAATGAAGTACAGATTTTCTAAACGTAGGTACCATCCTTAGAGTCTATTTGCAGGTTGAAGGAATCTGCTTTTTTCTAGTTATATTCTTACCTATTTATTATTTGGAAGGTGGTCAAGCCTTAACCCTTGTATTCTGTACATATTGGCTCCTCCTTCTATTTATGAGCTATTCCAGTGATGGATTGTGTTGACCATCCACTATCATTCTTGCCTTGTCTCTTATGTGACCAAAAATAATGTTTCCAAAAGAGAAGTAAATGGGGTTAGGACATGCTGTCTGTGGCCAAGGAAACAAACAAAGCAAAGTTAATTCTTCAGAATACTATTGCATAGCCACAGGCAATGGAATTGATCCCGGAGAATCAAGCTCATTACCACAAGGATCTCGACCCATCATCATTCATTCATTTGACCTGGAATGTGCATAGTTTACAAAGGCAGCCTTAAATCATCAAGAGCAACTTTGTTTGCAACTTCCTTTGTGGAAAATGATTGGTATATTATTTGAGATGATCTGTGGAAAATATATAAAGTTAGTTAACATGTATGGCTAAAATCCAAACAAATACAGTTGTAACAACTGTCTTCTCAACATATTTATAAGATCATTTAAGATTTCACTGTCATTGTGTAGGAGGAAAGATTTAAAATCAAATGCACGTGAACAAAATAGAGACAAAGAGTACAAAGATGATCTTAAATGGAGGTAGCTTGTGTTCTGAGGGGTTTTGAACTATATAGACTTTTATTTTTACGTGGTATGCAAGGATTTGCAGATATTTTCACATAACATCTATAATTGTTAAGTACCTATTATGTACCAATTGTTTTGCCTATTACCACCCTTTGCAATAAACACGGGACTCATTCTCTATAACCTAGTGTTAATTTCTTCAGTTTGTATTTGAATACCTTACCCATGGTTACACAGCTAACAAAGAAACCAGTTACAGTTAAAATCTAGATATTGTTGATTCTCATCATTGTACTGTTTTTACTCAGTCTTTCATAATAGTTGAGGCAAGGAAAATACAAAGATAATTAGTTGTGGGCTCTTTTTTGCTCTTGTAAAACTAATCTGAATGTGAACTAGAAGGGAGAAAAGAAGCACAGGGTCAATATCTGAATATATTTTAAGTAAAAATCAAAACCCTAACCTTAAATTACATCACGGATGCCTACAAAGAAGGCTTGAGGGTTTTAATAGAATGCCTAACGTAAAAGCATTTACGTCTTTGCTGTGCTCAAACCTGGGGTTACCTTCAGTGACTCCAATTTAGAATCACCTTCTGTGGAAGTTTAAGAGATTAAATCCATTGGAAATACCAATAAATATGAATCAGCACTAAGGTAATTATTTGGGTTAACATTGATTGACAGACTTCAAGAGCTACCATTTGATCGAGGCCTGTAAAATGCACGCATACAAGTTGACATCTTAGATTGGAGGGATAATCATCCATTGAATCAGTCTTGTAAATGCACAAACATAAAAACGGCAAATCAAAACCTGAATGGAAAATAGCTATCACCTTTTTGTTTGGAATAAATATGAAAACATACCAAAAGTGAAAAATGGTTTGGAAGCGTCAAGTGGACCTGGCCTGCCTGGAAGGACGGGGCACTGGTCACCGGGGGAAAGACGCCAGTGGCATGGCAGTGGTGTTAAACACGTGAAGGGGACTTACACTGACTCCATGAAACTCCCGAAGTTGAAACTAGAACCAGTGGATGGAATACACAAGGAGGACAACTTGTGATGAAAATGGAAAGGCACGGGCTGCTGTGGGAGGTAATCGAGGTCTCCTTACATTCGAAGCACCCTCCTAGAAGCTAAATAACCACCATTCAGAACGTTCTGGGAAGGGACACAGGCACACAGGTGGCGGACATCCCTGGACTCTTAGCTACAGCATTCACTTATGCGTCCCGATGCCCATGAGTCTTTAAATCCTTTTATTCTTGCTATATTTTGAACCTGAGCAATTAGTATGATTTCTGTGGTCCCTCCCCCTCCCCCCCTGAGTTATTTCCTTCTGTACTGTTTTGGATTATGTAACGGTGATACTTCATATCAGGTTGCTTTTATTTATTTTTTTTTTAATTTTTTTTCAACGTTTTATTTATTTTTGGGACAGAGAGAGACAGAGCATGAACGGGGGAGGGGCAGAGAGAGAGGGAGACACAGAATCGGAAACAGGCTCCAAGCTCTGAGCCATCAGCCCAGAGCCTGACGCGGGGCTCGAACTCACGGACCGCGAGATCGTGACCTGGCTGAAGTTGTACGCTTAACCGACTGTGCCACCCAGGCACCCCTCAGGTTGCTTTTAGATAGCGTGTGCTTCATTCGGTTCTGTGAATTTGGTTGTTGTCGGTTCAGATTCTGATTGTCGTTGCTTTCTTTGGAGATACTCTTTTAAAACATTTGGCAGCAAATGAGTGAAGATTCTGCTTTGTGGGCTTTTTGGTTTTGGATGGGGAAAAAAATTAAACTTTTTGATTCATAACAGTAAAAATTCAGAGGTAAATATTTTTAGGGTCAGACCCAGGATCCTGCATACATTGTTTGCCTGACAATAGGCGGAGAGCCTAACTACTTGAAAATGCAAACAAAAATGTAAGCTACTCATGTTCCTCTTGGTTTGCAAATGCTGAATGGTTTTGCTTTAAGGCACATGCCATAAAGTCAGCACTTGCTGTCTCGTTGTCACTGGTGCAACATCTCTGGACCCTCGAGTAGGCAGTAGTAGTTACTAAAATGCTCAGCAGTGTTTCTTCCAGACCAAGTCATCATGCTGTATTCTGTAATTTTATTCATGGAAACGTAAAGAGTGTTTACAGTGCGGTATCTTTCTAGGATCAGAATAGTGGGAGGAAAAGTGGAAAAATGTCCAAACCTCTTTGCATGGCAATGATGGCATTACTGGTGTGTTTAATAAAACCTTTATTGGTACATTTTCCGGTGTGGTGGCATTGGCAGAGACGGTCCCCCTTTGGATTTGGAGCTCAGCAGCTGATGAAATACAGTAAACATTAATCTGGGATGGGCTGCCAGTTTTGGAAAGCCAGGTGACATTTTATTATATTTGTACCGAGCAGGGGCTGTGTCCCATACTGCCGTAGCTTCCGCTGTCAGAGGCTTAGCTGGCATTATGGAAAAAAAAAATGGCAGGCCTGAGAATCTTATCCCCTGAAATGAAAGTCGAATGCCAAATTGAAATTCCTGTAGGATTTCCGATAGCAATGGGGGAATTGAGAAGCCCACAATTAAGCATATGGGCATTAAGATAATTGTCAGATCTGTTGGCGGACATGATAGAAGACAGATGGGTACGAATCAGTGCGCTCCACTGCAGCACCCTGGGAGACAATTTGACGTTTTACCTGCCTGAGCTACTCTGCCATATTTGTCACTGAATGTACAGCACGGCATCTTACTGAGTGTGAAGTGTTTTGCAGGGTTCTGTAGGTGCGTGTGCGGTCCTTCAGCGCCCTCTAGTGAAAGGCATTTGGGAGTCTTGTTTTTCAAAGGCCTGTGTTCCTTTGGCTGGTCCTTGCTGCCCCTGGAAATAAACTCCACGGTTCCTCTCCCCCTTTCAGGTTGGGGCCCATCGTGAAGACGGTGTGGCCCTGAGAGGCAGCCATTCTCTTGTGCCAAACCAGGTTCCAGTTCCACAGCTTCCTGTCCAGTCTGCAACTTCCCCGGATTTGAACCCACCCCAGGACCCTTACAGAGGTAGGTCTGCCTCCGAAGGCCCTTCCGACCTCACTTAGACAATAGTGAATCCAGTGTTGATCCCAAGCTTACTTGGCATACACTCCTCAGGAAGCACTGGCAGAAAACCAAGAATCAAATTTGGTACAAAAACGGTAAGCAAATGGGAAAGCAGTTAGAACATAGCCGGCTAATTGTGTTTCTTCAGTAACTGTTTTCCTCAAACATCCTCTGAAATCCTGGTCCTATTTCAGCAGGGAATGAGACAACAGACTGATGAGAGGAAATTTTATTTTAGCTATTTCCACATTTTACTCATTCAGGTCCTCTAATGTGGTTAGTTGTAGCCTGAAAATGATATTTCCAAATGAATAGGAAGGAAGGAAATTGTTTTTGTCGTTTAAGATGGAAGGAAATGTAGGTACATTTAAAAACTGGAACTTGGTGGAATGATTTTCACTTTTCGTCTCGCCCCATAATGATTGCCTCAAACCACGGACCCCACTCAGCTTTTCATGACCCCAGGAAGTTATACCACAGGAGCCAGACCTGGGTCCCATGCTCCCTGTGCAACTGGCTGGCCCGGTGACTGGCAGACACTTAAATTCTCATCACCCACCCCCCCCCCCCATGTTTAGAGTAAAGGTGATAACACTGCCCCAGGAATATGCATAGGCTTTTTACCACTGGCTAAACATTGTACAAATTGAGTGTTAATTATGTGTGTGTATGTGTGGGTGGGTGTGTGTGTGTATGGAGAGAGAGAGAGAGAGAGAGTCAGTGCTTCTTAAACTTGAGTGTATATAAGCGTGACTTGAGGACCTTGTTAAAGTGCAGATTCTGATTCAGTAGGTCTGAAATTCTGCATCTCTAATGGGCTCTGGTGATAAGGATGCTTCTGGACCACAGACCAATTTTGAGTGACTACACAAATTACAAACAGAGGAGAATACCCAATAGGCATGCTTATACCTTAGAAATAAGTGGATACATGAGGGTCACGTTTTAAAATGTATTGTGATCTTGAAAGTTGAGCAGTGATAAAGCTAAAAATTTCTTCAGTGAGCAGCTAACTGCTTTCCATATGTACCATTTTTAAATGCTGATTACTCCTTGAGGATAAGAGAAACCTAATTTCAGAATATCATTAGGGTATCTATTGAAGTCTTGACTGCACATATTTAGCGTACTCCCTGGGAATTATATTTTAAGGACATTTTTCTATTAAATCATTGCATATGGAAGAAACTCAATATAATAGCTGATATTTACTTGGGTTCTTAATCAGAACATTGCGGTGTGTGATTTTCATGATTATGATTTTCATTGCAATTAAGTTGATGTTTTGTAGACAGTGAAATTACCATCTACTCCAAAAGATTGCAAAATAGAATTTAACCTCAGAGCCAATGCAGGGAAAACTTGCTTCCACAGGTGCATTTTTGAAACTTCACCAGATCACATGGAAACAAATGCGGCAGAAGGATCACAGTTCAGCAGCATGAACTATATGGCTGGCAGCTCGCGGTCTGCAGTGTGTGTGCGTGTGTGTGTGTGTGTGTGTGTGCGCGCGCGCGCGCGCATCTAGTGTTTGGCAGAAACATCACCTGCTCTCGCTCTCTCTCTCTTCCGTTAGGCATGCCGCCAGGATTGCAGGGCCAGAGCGTCTCCTCCGGCAGCTCTGAGATCAAATCCGACGACGAGGGGGACGAGAACCTGCAAGACACGAAATCTTCCGAGGACAAGAAGTTAGATGACGACAAGAAGGATATCAAATCGATTACTAGGTCAAGATCTAGGTAACAGTATATGATACTGTCGCTTCATTTAATTCCTTTATTGGACTTTGATGAAGTGAACAGAACAGGAAGAAACTATTCAGTTTTTTCCTGGCAGGTAAATCGACAGCTGAAAAGAAAATTAAAGGCCTGCTCTAGAGCTACCGAAGTATCGTTTGAGATACTGGTACTCTAGTGAAGCCTACAGTGTCTTTGCATTTGTGAATTTGGACGCAGTGTTAATTACACACGGTAAAAACAATTTGTAACTGATTCAAGTGCAAACAGTTGATTTTTAAAATGATGCATATTCTGCAAATTTGGTCCGAAATGATCTTTCCAAAATATTTCTAAAAAAGAGATCTTAGCCGTGTTAAAAACTCCATTGAGGTATATGCAACTATGACTTTTTTCTGATCTTGAACGTGAGAATATACTGATTTCCCAGCTTTATCTTAAATATGTTGATCTATCTAATAATAATACCTAAACTGCTCGCTTTTTTCTCCCAGATACTCCCTTCTACAGAAAATACAACTGCAGGAAAATAGCTTCTGGTTGGTTTTCTTAAACATCCAATATCTTTAAATTAGAGTCTTTCTCGTGGAATGTTAACTCTAGTCTGACGATCAGATGGTTTTCGAACACCGTGGCACCCCTGTTCTTTGCTTTAGTTCCCTTGGGTTGTTTTCATTTGTAATTTAAATAAATTGTACCACGACTACACTTCCGCCTTTTAGAAGCTGTCATTCTCGGGGTTAGAGCTAATGCCCTTTAGGAATTAAAAACATGCCACTTTCTCATAATCGCCTTTATAATCATTGGGATAAATTGTAGGACATCCCCTGCTAAAATTTCCAGAAAATGGTACAAGCTTCTTACCCCTTACCTCCCACCATCACTACAGAGTCTCCTGACTCTTGGCCACATTGGTGAAATTTTAAGGAGGGGCTTTCGCATCCCTACCATCTTCTCTGCCACTCCCGTCAGTTCTCAGTAACTCAACTAGTGGCCGTGACTTATGCATATTAGTAGATTCTTGGAAGTTTCCGTACAACCTTCTTATTGAAACCGTTATTCTTGTGACATTTACCTAATGCCTCCCAAACTGGGATGTGAGACAATGCTAGGTAGTTTTATTTGCAAAACCAACCTATTTACTATTTATAAGTGAATAATCGGGCCTAATTAGTTACTAGCCTGAATACCTTTGGAAAACAAGTTCCCACTTTCAGACCCACTCTGTGAAAGCTGTGACACCTGTGTGATGTTTAAAAGTGTTACTCAAAATTTTAACTTCAGGGAAGGGCCACCACAGACTTGGCTGTGTTCTCTTTTCACTTGTTACAACCTGTTTGTGTAGTGGAATGTGGACGTGAATTAACGGTAACCTTGACTTGGCTGCCATCAGCAGAAGTTAGGGGTGGTGGGGAGGAGGGTTCAGCAGAAGTAGGAGGCTTAGATGACACTGAAAGAGAGCCATTTCCCACAGGTTCAGTCCAGTTGTGTGTTCACCAGCACACATCTATGGCAGACGGCCCCATCTGGCAGGGAGTATATGACCCATAGGGAGATGAGCCAAGCCTTAAGGCATCTTTCTTTGGTGTCTTCCTCTTCCCCTCCCTTACAAGTGTTGTTGGCTTACATGCATCATCTGTATTTGCAACATGTGCTTGCAACCCAAAGAATCCCACTCCCATTTGTGATTGATTGGAGCTTCTCAGCTATAATTGGTCCTTATTGCAATTTGGAAGCTACCCAGAGATTCTCCAAACTGGGAGATTCAGAGCCACGCATGTTAAGCCAACATTCATTAAGTGTACATTAAATTGACTAGATAACTTACCCCATGTTCTCCTGCTCTGAAATATTGTGATTGACACCTTTATTCTGTGAACATTTCAGATTTGTAGAATTTTAAAGTAGAGGTTAACCATCATGGTCATTTAGATGAATGCTTGGACCTCCAGGTTAACATCCTTACAGATGGTCACCTCCATATTGTTTCATATAATGAGGAGCCTATTACTTTTTCAGTGAAGTTGACCTCACTTTTTATATCTCTTATGACATCTCTTATACCCAAAAAGCTTCTTGCTCATGTTAACTCAAACTATAACACTCAGAGGCATGACAGCCAGAAACAGACAGGAGGAATATTGCCTTTCCAGACTATACTGGATCCAACCATGCCTTTGCTATGAAATGTAATATTTTGGTTCTAACCATCAGAGATTAGCTTTTGGGCTTCATTTTTGACTCATGATGAGGTCATGGTCATTTATAACCAGTAGCTGTTTGGTATTTAGTCCATCGTATTCTGTTTGCTTTGCACAGTGCCTGTCAACTCAGATTTTCCCAACTTGTTTTGGGGGCTCATAAATGTCCATGATGTTAGAAGCCATGGAGATCATGGTTTTTCTAGCCTTTTTATTTAACACATGGAGAAAATGAGACTCAGATACATTAAGTGGAATAGCCATGCCTTCAGAGCTAGTTATCAGTGAAACATGGACAAAAGTTCTCTGTCTGCACTCTCATTGCTCTGGTGTCTTGAACGTAGGGCCTTCTTACTCCTGTTTCAGCTGTATCGTGTTCATTCTGACCTGTCCGAGTCTTTTCTCAAGCACTTGTTTTCCTCAGGTTCCAGATGTCACAGTATGAAAGTTAAAAACGACAGCACACACACCTTCAGTCTGTGTAACATGCTCTGCTTTGTGGCCATGCAGACTAGCCTCGAGGCTAAGTTGACCGTGGCCTTGCTTGGCAGAGTGTAGCCTCGTTGATAAAAAGCCGTGCTTGCCCTTTACTCCCTACATCAGCATGGGCACACAGTGGGCCCTAACTTTAACCCCTCTGGTTTTGTTTGGGTTGAATGTCTGGGAGAAACGGAATGTCTCGTGTATGGATTGTCACAGCCATCTATAGCAGTCCCAAGTTCAAGTGGATGTAAAATCCTGCCGAGGACAACAGCTGAAGATGGACACATCCCCAGAAAACTCTGGAAGAAAACAAAACCAATTTAGAGACTTTCTTTGTCCCCACACCATTAGAAAATGTCGCATCCCTTTTGTCCCCCAGCAATAACGATGACGAGGACCTGACACCGGAGCAGAAGGCAGAGCGTGAGAAGGAGCGGAGGATGGCCAACAATGCCCGCGAGCGCCTGCGCGTCCGTGACATCAACGAGGCTTTCAAGGAGCTCGGCCGCATGGTGCAGCTCCACCTCAAGAGTGACAAGCCCCAGACCAAGCTCCTGATCCTCCACCAGGCCGTGGCCGTCATCCTCAGCCTGGAGCAGCAAGTCCGAGGTCAGTGCCCCCGCCGCCTCCTCGTAGGGGTCACGGCAGCCCGCGGCTGCAGGGAGTAGGGATCGACTTGCCGGCCTGGAGCGGGAGCAGAGAAGCAGCCCCATAAGCGTGGTTCAGAGTCACGGGGTCAAGTGCAGATCGCCTCTGAATCTGTAAGGCAGCCCCCCTGTCTCCCATGGCTAAGGTACAGGACGCTCTTACAAGTAAGACGGCACCACAGTGCTTTCGTACGTACTCTCAGGAATCCACATTTGGTATCTTTGTTTTACCAGCTTTCTTATCCTGTGAAGCCGTCCAGCTTGTACTGGTGACCCACCAAATGCATGGCTATAGCGTGCCTTTGCTGGCTCTTCCTCTCGCTGGGTGACGTGGAAACCCCGATGGAGGGTCGGCAGACGAGAGCGCATTACTGCCCTCTACCAGAAGCCGTGGGCACTAACCACATTCTCGGCTTCACTCTTCTTCCAGAGAGGAATCTGAATCCGAAAGCCGCGTGTCTGAAAAGAAGGGAGGAAGAGAAGGTGTCCTCAGAACCTCCCCCGCTCTCCTTGGCGGGCCCGCACCCTGGAATGGGAGACGCGTCAAACCACATGGGACAGATGTAAAAGGGCAAGTGCGCTCTCTGCCATTTCGGAAATCCCCTCCTTTGTCGCTCTCCTCCCCGAGGCATCAGCCATAAACGTCAACATTCGCCCCAGTTAACAAATTTTTCCCCTTTGGGGAAAAAAAAAACCAGTTTAAAAATAAAACGTTTACTTCCTCTGTTTTAGGTGTATGAATTAATTTTCCTCTCTTTTTCCCTTCTCAGGTCCAAGTTGCCACATTGCTTCATTAATACAAGAGACCACTTCCTTAACAGCTGTATTATCTTAAACCCACATAAACACTTCTCCTTAACCCCTTTTTTTGTAATATAAGACAAGTCTGAGTAGTTATGAATCGCAGACGCAAGAGGTTTCAGCATTCCCAATGATCAGAAAACCGAAAAACAAACAAAAAAAAAAAAAAAGAAAGAAAAAAGTGCAACTTGAGGGGTGACCCTCTAACATATCATTCAGAGTGTGCAAAGCGGTGTGTGCAGGCTGAGACGCAGCCCAGAGACTGAATGGCAATCTTTCCACACTGTGGAACAATGCATTTGTGCCTAAACTTCTTTTGGAAAAAAAAAAATATAATTAATTTGTAAGTCTGAAAAAAATATTTAATTTAAAAAATTGTAAACTTGCAATAATGAAAAAGTGTACTTCTGAAGACAACTACATGAACGTTTTTGTTGGTATTCAAGTCAGCTAGTGTTTATTATTACCGGATATTGAATAAGGGAAGCTCGGCTGCCCTCGTAACAAAACCAGCAAACGTCCTGATGACAACAAAGTGATGACATTAGCCATTCCTTAGGGTAGGAGGAACAGATGGATCTTATAGACCTATGACAAATATATATATAAATATATATATAAATATATATTAAAAATTTAGTGACTATGGTAAGCTTTTGTTCATTTGTTTCAGACTTTTTTCTCCTGTAAAAAAATAGTACTGATTAACTTTTTTAAAAGAAAGATTTTACTGTAAATACGGATTTTTTTTTCTTTTTTCTGTTTTTTTTTTTCTTTCCTTTTTTTTTTTTTTTTTTTTTTTTTTTTTTTTTTGGTCTTTCTGTCCCTTTCCCTGGTTTGTTATTGTAACCTGTAGTGCCGACTCTGCTTCTGGAGAGGTGACGCAGGATAAAATGCTGACCCTGATGTTGTTTTTCATTCATAAATAAGTAGAAAGTTGTTTCTCCAGTCTTTTGGGAACACAGGACTTAAAAGTCACATCATGTGTAGATATTACAAGCAGCATTACCAAGACATGGCAAAAAGAGTTTGTCTGAACTGTAATGTTGCGTTTGTGACCCTATTCTGGGATTTTCAGAGGTACAAGGTTAGAATGCTACAATGTTACCACTGTGCCTTCCAATGTTTATATCATCGGAAACATAACATAATCAAAGTGGCTGTGATTTAACAAAATGATTAAGGTGTTACCTACATGTGTAGCCGAAGTAGTGTGCAGTGAGGCGTTTCTGAATACATGGTCAGATTTTTGGAAAAAAAAAAAACAAAACAAAAAAAAAACAAGTAAAGTTCAAAAACCATCAAATGAGAAAATTGCAAGTAGTGTGACAGAGCTGATTGATTTTGTTGCTTTCTTGATTTTTTGTTTTCAAAATGGGTTTACTAAGATGTAGATGACTTAACTGCCTCCTCCTTCGTCTGAAAAAATGCCAATATTCAATCATCATGCAGCATTA